AAAATAATAATAAAAAGACCTTGATCAAAAAAAAAAAAGACTGCTTTGATTATCTTTTACATTGGTCATGGTGTGACATATTGTACATTTCATAATATCATCATTAGCTAGAATTAGTCTTGGTAATTAGCCACGATAATGGTAAAACTGGCAGCTAATAAGGCGTGAATCTGACTGGCTTAAGGTGTTAGTGGGGAAATATGGTTTGTTGCAGAAGAGAAGATAGGAAGAACAGGGAATTTAGGAAGGAAAAAATACTTATGTGATTTTCTTTTAGTAGGCAATTTGTTTGAATTTGTGAAAACTTTAAGAAAGTTTTTTAATCTTTTTTTCATGATAATGCAGTAATCTCAAAGACATTTTTTAAGTACAGTAGCCTACACAGAATATTGTCTTAAATTATATTTCTGAACATGAAATACTTTTGTAACTTTGTAACTAAACTAAAGATAACATTTCCAAGGGTTATATTATTTATTTTTACATTTACTCAGTTATACACGTGGTTCATTTTCAGCATTTAAAGAGGTCACATAACCCTGCTTCTATGCACAAAATACTTTGTAGAGCTCAGTTTTGTTTGTTAACTGTTCCACAATGAGACAAGGAGCATGATGCTACATGTTTATTCAAAGTTAAACAGGAAACATCAAAGTTAATTACTACCATACCGCTCATGTGGCCCTCTGTGAAAATGTGTTTGACACCCGACATAGGAATTAAGCTGAAATAATAAAACCAAAAACACACACCATGACACTAAGCACCACTTCTKCTACTTCTTTACTAAGCATGAAAATTAAATAAAACACAGCATCAGTAACTGAATAAAAATAGAAAACTATAAAAGGTCAGTTTTCTCCAAATGTCCATCATGTTTTATATAAAATACTTTTTTTCTATTGTTAAGTATGCTTGTCAACATAATTCTCTACCAACTTTTCACATTAAGAGACCAACAGATGAGATAACAATGTATGTTCTGATGGTAGGAATGTCTAAATCAACTTTACATAATCTATAAAACAAAACATGCTTTTYTTCGGTTGAGGCACAAATTATCAACTGTTAAGTAGTATTATGTTTTGTTTCACATTTGATGTCTGTTTTAAAATAAAATTTCTACATGTTCATCTTTAAAGCATATTACTTACCTATTCTTTATTTTCTGAAAACTCTACTCACTCAGCATCTTTATGCCTATTTTTTATCACTTAAAAGATATGATTGACACAGGCAATAAAAACTTGTTATTTCAATACAGTATATTGAAATTTTCAAATCTGAATGACGTTTTAAACTTTTTCTGACGGTATTAAAGAGCTTCAGCCAGGATCCCTCTCGTTTAATTTCATTCATTTATCTATTTTATTTACCCACTTTTCTGTGCATGGTTGTTGAAGAGCTGGTGCCTATTTCTAGCAGCCAATGTATGACAGGCAGGGTACACCCTGAGCAGGTTGTCAGTCCATCACAGGGCCATATAATAATTAACAAGACAGACAACCGTTCATAGTTTCACCTTCTGACAAGTTAGTGACCAAATAACCTAACYTGTATGTTTTTGGTTYGTGGAAGGAAACTGACGTACCAGGAGGAAATCAATGCATGCACAGGGAAAACAGGCAAATTCCATGCAAAAAGCCTCATTCATACTTATTTCTAGTGTCAACTTTAGCTTAAATAA